AAATACAAAAAATTAAAATAAAAAATAAAAAATTAATTTAAAATGAATTTTAATACTAATAAAAAAATTTATTTAAAAATATTAAAACTATTTTTTCATATTTCTCTAATAATATACTATATTACAAAAATAAAAATGAGAGTGAGCAAATTTTTTATTTAAATTTATAAAATTTATAAAATTTAAAATTAAAAATAAAAAACCACTATCCTAGAGTAGCCAACCCAAGGATATAAAAAATTATGAAGGGATAACAGTAGTATATAGTATAGTAATATCAATAAATCACTCACAGTCCGCATAACATATAAATAAAAGGGCAAAATGGCAATCCTTCCTGACTCATCTTTCTCTAACTTCATGAAGTTTGAAGGGCCGAAGAAGAGTCGACATTTAGGGCCTATTTGCTCTATACATACAGATGCAATACGGCAATAATCTTCATAGTTCATCTGCAAGATGACAACAGCACTTGTCATGTGGTGAAGACTGATAATACCACGATATGTGAACAAGAAAAATACATCAAAAGTTCATCAACAAAGAGTAACTCATAAAGCTCTTTTAATTGGTCCATGAAAAAAAGAGAAGCTCAATCCACAACTTGCTATAAATTGAGTTAGAAACCAAATAAAGAGGAAGTTTAAGATGGCTAGGCATAAGACCTTTTCTGCACCAGTGGCATCATCAACACACAATTTTCTCTTAAACAAACCCACGTTGCATCCATCATCAGCATTTAGCAGAAGATCTGATTGCTTCTGCAAAAATGAATCAAGAATGTGAATGAAAATTATAGCAGATCATCACAAACTTTTGTAATCTGTAATCATAACAAGTACTTAAACGGTTGTATCATTAGAAATCGATAGTTTGCCAGCCTCTGAATCCTGTGACTGATGGATCCTTCTTCAGGTTTCTGAGATTGAGAGAAAATACAAAATAGTAGAGTTAAGATATACTCTTTCATCACTGCTTATGTAAATGCATAAAAAGATAATCTGTGAAACCAGTAAGAAAAAATGCACCAAAGTGTTGAACAACTCCTTTCCATGTAGTTCTTCTTTATACCTAAACTTCTAAAGTACCCATGCGATAAATTTTAAAACATGCCTTTTTGTAGAAACTTGGTATTGTGCCAGCTTCAGCAGTTTTCTGTTGCTTCTCTTTAAAAATATTCAGCAAGATTCTCTTTGTCCCAAGCTCTACAAGAGAAAAAAGAGCACTACATCAGAATTTTACTGAAGATTGAAAAATTCACTTCAATTTAAAGTACAAGTATTTATTTGCCAGCAATTCAGCCAAAAAATTGTTCCGTAGGAAAATCCAATACAGTAATAGAAAGAGTTACCATCGTAATTGGTGGAATTGAAGTTATAATTCCTCGAGTCTATCAAGTAACAAACATGGGAATGATATTCTATTAGAAATAATTTCCTAAGTCAATTTAAGCAATATATTCAAACTATATCATATATAAAATTTTATACATTAACTTTATGCCTACAGAATTTATAATACTTATATTAGAGCAATAGAATCATTAAATTTTTGCAGCCAACGTGGTGAGGATAATAAAAAAACTCGATCAAAAGAGATTAGAAAACTAGTGTTTTTTTTTTTTTTTTTTTGACATGAAGAAAACTTAGTGTTAGCATTGTGGAATAATAAAAAAAACACAAGAAAAAATAACCTTAGAATCTATCTTAGAAGAATTAAAAGGTAATTATGGAAAAAATCCTAAAAAACTATGGGGAGTTGATAAAACTTATGCCACAATTGAATTGATAGACCCAAAAACCATCATTAGAGTCAAACCAATGAGATATAGCCCTGAAGATAAAGAAGAATTTGATAAGCAAATTCAAGAATTAATAGTTCAAAAAATTATACAGGCCTCTAAGAGTCCGCATGGTAATCCTGCCTTTATCGTAAGAAATCATAATGAGTTGAAAAGAGGAAAAGTTAGAATGGTTGTCAACTATAAACAACTTAATAGTAGAACTAAATTTGATAGTTACTTTTTACCACATAAAAAAACTTTAATCAATAGCATTAGGGGAAAGAAAATGTATTCAAAATTTGATTGCAAATCAGGATTTTAGCAAATTAAGCTAACTCTTAATAGTATCTCACTAACAGCTTTTAGTGCTTTTACAGGACACTATGAGTGGCTAGTGATACCTTTTAGATTAAAGGATGCACCTCAAATATTTCAAAGAAGAATGGATAATGTATTTTCCTCCATCAAAAGATTTTGCATAGTTTATGTAGATGGCATACTAATCTTCTCTGATAATGAGAAAGAACATTTATGTCATCTTAAAAAATTTGCATATTTATGCAAGAAACATGGAATGTTACTTTTTGAAAAGAAAGTAGAAATAGGAAAACCCAAGATAGAAGTCCTTGGATTAACAATAGATTCCATAGAAATAGAGTTACAACCTCACATTAGTGAAAAGATTTCAATGTTCCCAAATAAACTAGAATCTAAAGAATAAATTTAAAGGCTTTTAGGAATACTCAATTATGTAGAGCAGTTTATTCAAAACTTATCTCAATTAAGACATCATTGCCAAAAATTGCTTAGAAAAAGGGAAAGTCAACAATAGGAAATTTATCACACCTATCATGTGAAAAGAATAAAAGAATATTGCAAAAGCCTTCCTAGGCTACAATTGCCTAAAGATGATGAAGAGTAGATTCTAGAATGTGATGCCTCAGATTTTTATTGGGAAGCGGCTATGAAAAATTCCCAAGAAAAGGTTTGTAGATATGCTAGTGGTACATTTAAAGATGTAGAAACTAGATATCATTCAAATCATAAAGAGTTATTAGCCATTAAAAATGGAATTAAAAAGTTCGGTTTCTTCTAATTACCAAAACATTTTAAAGTCAGAACTAACAGTATGCAAGTTAATGGATTTATTTTTAACAAATTACCTTTAATACTAGAATATAAAAGATTAAATAGTTGGCAAACATTTTTTTGTTGAATATAATTTTGAAATTGAACATGTCAAAGGGACTAATAATTATCTTGTAGATTTCTTAAGTAGAGAAGGAGCTAATCGATGAAATCCTAATATTCCAAAATAAAAGGAAAAACCTTATTCTCAAAGGTTAAGAGATACTCATTAAAAGCAATAGCCAAATAAGAGAAGGCCATGAAAAAATGATCAAAGGTCAGGAGATAATTGATGAAGGCCACAACCTTATGGATGACGGCTAAGAAAAAATTATTAAAGGCCATGAGTTGTTAAATAAGGGACAAGATGCCCTTAAAGAAGTCAAAGAGCTTATAGAAAAATTAATGAATTCTAGAGTAATTACTATGTCAGAATCAGCTCTAAAGGATCTAGCTAAATGGCAAAGAAAAGCTCTCAAGAAGAGCTAAAAGAAAAACTTGAACAAGGTGATCCTTCAGTAGGGTTTCTAGGAGAAAGTTTAGGGAAATTTGACTATTATGTCGAATACTCTCCCCTAGAAACATCATCATCTAAAGCTAAAAAGCCGGCTATTCAAAATGCGAAAAATCATAACTTTTGACCTAATTACTCAAGAAAGAAAGAAAAGAAAGTTATAATAATAGATGCCTTGTCAAAAATGACAATGAGTGAAGAATATCTACAGGACTACAGCAGAGTCTGTAAAATGGCATATTCAATGAGGTCTACCGAGAATTGCCATCCTATACATGAAGGGATTTATCCCAAAATAAATTTCATACAGGGTGCAAACCCAAAAGCTATAAAAGAATTCCTCAATTACGGTTTTGTAAATTATATTTATCTTTCAAAGAATAATGAAGAAGTTTTAGAACTTCCAGAAGTTATACACTAAGAAGTGAAAGACTTCAAGACTGGCACCAAAACTCAAGGGGTAGTATTTGTAAAAGTCTACTTTGTAGCACCAGAATGGGGAAAATGTTAATATTTCCCCAATCATCATATAGTTCAAATTGGAATTCAGTCTAAGAAAATCAAAGTAGAAGCAAAAGAAGATCAAATTTTCCAAGACTTTGAAGAGTCTCTTTGTGGGATCGAGTTCATCCAAGAAAGACGAGCTCTAGGATTCAAGGTTTTACCCTAGACCTTTGATAGAATGATGGAGATGAGAAAGACATGGACATATGGTTTTTCTAAATAAATCTCGGTAGTATCCACTAGAGCAAGATTAATGACAAGCATTAGCTTGCTCAAAATAAAGCAGAAAAGAAAGGAAATCTTTGAAAATTTGGTTATAGCCAGTAAAGCAATCAATAATAGATTATGCAAACTGTTAAAGCACGATAATCATTATGATTTTTGCTACAAAAAAGAATTCGCAAAAGGAAAAGCCGAAGCCCCATGTGATGAAGAGACCACTCCTTCAGACAATGAAGAGAATATCATCATCCTCTGAAGAATCCAATGCAAAGAGACAAAAGCTCTTACATCACTAAAGAAAAAAGGAGAGTGTCGGCAAGATTCCATGTAGTCTGCTTTAACAAAAGCAAAAAATAAGTCTGGATCACTAGACAATAATGTAAACTTTAAACATCAGCAATGATGAAAGAAAAGATTCTAAGGAGTCACTACTAAAAAAGGGAGTAATTCAAACCGATCATATACGGATCGAATCATGTCGGTCCGTATAAATATAAATTCAGACCAATATCGGTCCGAACATATTAATGCGGTACCATATTCATCAATCAACATATTCAGACCGTTTTCGGTCCGTACATTTATGGCGAGAATTAACAGTGCAAATGTGCCAATACTATTCAGACCGAATACGGTTCGAATATTTTTTCGTAGAAATAAATATTAAATAACAAAAAATAAGAATAAAATATTATTTAAATGAATATATACGGATCGGTTTCGATTCGTATATATAAAACAAAAAATGCTTACGTCCATTAAATATTCGATCAATTTCGGTTTGAATGTTTATACATATTCAGACCGAAGTTGGTCCAAATAGTTTTTCGTAAAAAATAAATATTAAATAACAAAAAAAAGAAATAATATATTATTCAAATAAGGATATACGGACCAAAATCGGTCCGCATATATCATGTGCAATGTCTCGAGATTCATTGAATTCATGGATTGTTGACAATTTGAATAGTGAGTTATATTCAGATCGAAACCGGTCTGAAAATAGGCGTCAGAGATTCCCTGAACCGATGAGATGTTGGGTCTCACTATCAGACTTATACGGACCGATTCGGTCCGTATAATGTCCCCCACGCCCTTCATCCTCACAGCACTCGTCCCCTCCCCTTTTGCATTGCATCTGCGATTTTCCTCTGTTTTTTCTTCCCCTTTTCTTCGTCTGTACCCCAAGCTTCTCCTCCTCCAATCTCCAGCCAACCACAGAGGCAGAGAACGTTTTCCCCGCCGATTAGTGGCCAACAATCTTGATGGTGTATTTTTTTATTTGTGACAGCCTAACAAATTTTTTTTTTCGACAACCTATGATTTGTATTTTTTTTTTCAGATCTGTTGTGTTTTTCGCTAGATCTGGACATCTACAAGTATTTTTTTTCTATTTCACAACCTAAGATTTGTTTTTTTTTGTTTTTTTTTTTTTGTGTGTGTGCAGAT